CACTGTCGCTACAAGCATGCTTAGTGTGAGGGATTGCTGAAGAGTCAATGAGTCGATGCAATCAACTGGTTTTCCTTAGAAAACTGAATCAATTTGATGTTGTCAAGTTGATAATGAATGATCTGGTTGAATTGCAAAGTGCCTTGAGATGATGTGTTGTGAATTGAATTTATAAAATCAGACAACTATGCATATATTTTTGTTGACTTTAATCTTATTCCATATAGTAGTGTTTAGATATTCTTATGGGAACATACGAGGGATTTTCCCCAAAAGTTAATGCAAAGGTTAGATATGTAGATAACATTTAGTAATGGTTACTAGAATGGAACATTTTAAATCAAATGCTTAAAAAGATTAATCAGGAACAAATGTTTTGTTTTTCCTCAATTTAACAGATAGCTAAGTTAATGTATACAGATTGAAATATGTAGCCTATCAGCAGGCCTCATCACACATACTCCAGAGTAAAACTTTAAAAACTGATCACAGGTCAGTGTTTGACGGTAACAATGACCAGAAACTCAAATCTGAGCTGATTTAGGTATGGATAAGGTAGAATGAAGTTAAACTGCTGGAAAATTTTTGATGTCAATGTTTTTTCATTCTAATGAGCAAATTTTCAAGGCATATTTATTGCAGATTCCCAAATATCTGGTTAGAATGAAAGAGCATTGTTGCTAATAGATTCTGTTTTTGCTCTATGAAAGCGACAAACTACAAAAAAAAAAAAAAAAAAAAAAATTAAACAGATTGAAAACTTTCAAATTTGAGAATGTTTTTTTTTTTTTTTTTTGGTAATGGATGATTGTTATAATTATTTTAGCTGCAGATGAAGGAATTGTACCAGGCTGGCTGTTTGCAGGTTTAATCACCAGAGCTAAATGTTCATTCTTCGCAGTGCAGAGGGATCCCTGTTGTCTTAGATGGCGTCAAAATGATGTCAGGCTTTAATTAAATTGTACCATGCTCTGAGTATTCTGGACACTTTTCCAACAGAGTTTGAAATGTTGATATGCAAAAAGAAAAAAAAATATAGCAATATCCAGTGGATTGATTTAGAACCGTTACTTCCTGTCAAACATTTTCATACATTTTTTTTTAGGACAGATTGGCGTCCCTTGGTGGGCCAATCACACTTACAATTAAATATATCAAGTAGTAGACAGAGGATTATGGAGCGCAATTCCATAAGAAAGCCATTTGTTTTAAACCGTAATTAGCCCATCAAGGATGGATTCATAGTTCAGTTTCAGTCCGGCAGAATTTCACTTCCAGGAAGTGGAGGTGGTGATTTCCTCCTCCCCAAAGTTCTTTCAAGTCTAAAGAGAACATCTTGCCTGGATAACATAACCTTTTTATTCTAAATAAAGGGGCAGCTGAAGTTGTTTGACTAAACTTTTCTAGTATTAAGATTATCAGAGGTAATACTAGCTTAACTCCTCCTGGCCAGCTAAAGGCCCAGTTGCCCACTTTGCTTCTGCATGTTCAGCCAGGTCCCCTCATGCTAACTATGGGTTAGCAAAAGCAT